TTGAGGTCCCCTTCACCATCACGTGAAGAGGTCTTGAGGTCCCCTTCACCAACACGTGATGAGGTATTGAGGTCCCCTTCACCATCACGTGAAGAGGTCTTGAGGTCCCCTTCACCATCACGTGATGAGGTATTGAGGTCCCCTTCACCATCACGTGAAGAGGTCTTGAGGTTTCTCTTCACCAACACGTGATGAGGTCTTGAGGTTCCCCTTCACCATCACGTGATGAGGTATTGAGGTCCCCTTCACCATCACGTGATGAGGTCTTGAGGTTTCTCTTCACCAACACGTGATGAGGTCTTGAGGTTCCCCTTCACCATCACGTGATGAGGTCTTGAGGTCCCCTTCACCAACACGTGATGAGGTCTTGAGGTTCCCCTTCACCATCACGTGATGAGGTCTTGAGGTCCCCTTCACCAACACGTGACGAGGTCTTGAGGTTCCCCTTCACCATCACGTGATGAGGTCTTGAGGTCCCCTTCACCATCACGTGATGAGGTCTTGAGGTTTCTCTTCACCAACACGTGATGAGGTCTTGAGGTTCCCCTTCACCATCACGTGATGAGGTCTTGAGGTCCCCTTCACCAACACGTGACGAGGTCTTGAGGTTCCCCTTCACCATCACGTGATGAGGTCTTGAGGTTTCTCTTCACCAACCTGCACTGACCATTGGTGGTGAAATGGCCGACGTGGCATGAGCAGCCTTCATCCAGCAGTGGAAAAGATGGCGATGAGTATTGTAATTTTCATATGCTTCCTATTATGCCAAAGTGTGTATCTGAGAAGCGGCATGCAGAAGATCATCTACAGGATTCTCAAACACTACTCAAAGGAGTTTGTTTAACACGTAGGCTTTCGCGACCAATATTATTCATAATAAAGGTTTTTGGGTTAGATCGCGTTTATTTATAAATGTGTCGTAACCCTCCACCACCCGACACGGCCAATCAGCAAAACAAAAAAAAGTGTCACGTTGACAAAAGACAAATAATTCACTACTTCAGCCCACCGGTGTGTTGAAGAGTTAATCCACATTTACAGTTTGAGTACGACGTTTCGCTGGTAAATACTTCCAGCATCATCGGGCAATTCGCCAGTATGACTACTCAAAGGAATAGCAATTCCTGCACACCACTCATTCCACGATATAATATTGTTACATTCTATGCGCATTGACTAAAACGTACGATGATGCATATTTTGTCATCAAATTCATTTCGTAATATTGTACTGCACTTGACACTAAAGGTGACATCTTAATGACAAAAACGCAGCCCCATAGAACGGAATAAAATTGAACTCTTTACAATTTGAATATTATGCAAACATGTTGTATTATGAAGGCACACAAGCGTAGAATGTTGGGTTTTCATGTTTATTCGTAAAAACATTTTTGGAGAAAATTCTAGCCAGCATAATTACCTTGAGAATCTGTGACAAGGCACATTAGTCCGCATGCCCTGAGGAAACACGCGAGATTTTTTTTTCCAAATATCTTCCTCACCCCCCAACCCCGTCTGCTATAGATGTTGTGCTATGATCGTTGATTAAGATATTTTGGCCCCCCTAATTCATTTTTGCAAAACAGCTGACAGGAACCAATATTCCACAAGTTAATTATTGTCAAATGTTTTTTTAAGGCAAGATAGCATCCGCTCTCCGACCGAATAATGACTCTCATAATGTCTGAGAGTTGGCTTATAAGGCAGGCACCATTTGCTGCTGATTACCGAACGCCTGGAATTGGCATTAAGTCCGCGACACAATGGTGTGTGTTCGGCTTAGAGCTCCTTTCGCAGTTCTAAGTCTGTTTTTATTTTATTTCACACCAGGTATTTAATATGGACACCGTCGGCTGTTTAATGAGACTCACGGAGCCTCCCCCCCCTGGGACCTAATTGGACGCACGCGGCGGTCGCGAAGACACGCAGCGACTCTGCGTCGAGGTCGCTGGGTTGCGTTTAACTGCCGTGAACTCCTCGTTACTGCAGACAGGCCCTAGCGGCAGCGGTGGTGAGTGCCCCAGACGGGCAACCCTAAAGGTCGCCAGTTCGAATCCATCTCCTGGCCCCGTAATTGATGCGATGGTAAAAGTTTTTTTTTTCCAATATCACCCTCACCCGGACCCCGTTCCGCTTTGCCCAGCCAGCAGTGTAAATACGTGACCACAGGGAGTCGATTGGCAACTCAAGTTCGGTGGGATAAAACATGGTTGGCTCCCGCCTCTCCCCAGATGTCTAAAGCCCGCATGGAAGAGTTGGCCAAATTCACCTTTACAGCAGCTCACTAGAGCTCACTCTAGCGCAGGGCCTCTCTGCCAGCAGTGGCATGAGCAGGCAATTGCAGAGCTGCGCCTTTACCTGTTACACCTTGAAACCCATTCCGTCGGCCAGGTTGAGGCTGCGGCAGTGGTCATCGCGAAGTCGCCAAGACGAGAATTCAAATCCCAGCACGGGGTTCACTTCCGCACCCATGTATAGCACGACGGTTGGCTACGTACGGTGCGAAAGAAGTTCAACATACATACACACTTGGCCCATCGTTCACTATATGTATGACAAGTGTATTATGGTTGCTTTAAATAAATATACTGAGGCCTGCGATACTGTGTAACATTTCTAGCACTGGCTCCGGGCTACTATTGGAGACGAGTGGTGTACAGAGAGCTGTGAGCAACGAGACACATTGAAACACAATGAGAGACAATGAGACACCTTGAGACACAACAAGCCACAGTGAGACACATTGAGAGACAATGAGACACCTTGAGACACAACGAGACACATTGAGACACATTGAGACACATTGAGACACATTGAGAGACAATGAGACACCTTGAGACACAACGAGACACAGTGAAACACATTGAGAGACAATGAGACACCTTGAGACACAAGGAGACACATTGAGACACATTGAGAGACAATGAGACACCTTGAGACACAACGAGACACATTTAGATATATTGAGAGACATTGAGACACATTGAGACACGAGACACAATGAGAGACAATGAGACACTTTGAGACACAACGAGACACATTGAAACACATTGAGAGACAATGAGACACCTTGAGACACAACGAGACACATTGAAACATATTGAGAGACAATGAGACACCTTGAGACACAACGAGACACATTGAGACACATTGAGACACATTGAGAGATAATGAGACACCTTGAGACACAACGAGATACATTGAAATACATTGAGACACGAGACACAATGAGAGACAATGAGACACTTTGAGACACAACGAGATACATTGAGACACATTGAGAGATAATGAGACACCTTGAGACACATTGAGAGACAATGAGACACATTTAGACACAACGAGACACATTGAGACACATTGAGACACTTTGAGAGACATTGAGACACATTGAAAGACATTGAGACACTTTGAGACACATTGAGAGACATTGAGACACATTGAGAGACATTGAGACACATTGAGACACATTGAGAGACATTGAGACACATTGAGAGACGTTGAGAGAGATTGAGAGACATTGAGAGACATTGAGACACATTGAGAGACATTGAAACACATTGAGAGACATTGAGAGACATTGAGAGACATTGAAACACATTGAGACACATTGAGAGATATTGAGAGACATTGAGACAAATTCAGAGATATTGAGAGACATTGAGATACATTGAGAGACATTGAGAGACATTGAGAGACATTGAGACACATTGAGAGACATTGAGACACATTGAGAGACATTGAGAGACATTGAGACACATTGGGACACATTGAGAGACATTGAGACACATTGAGAGACATTGAGACACTTTGAGAGACATTGAGAGACATTGAGAGACATTGGCTTGACTCGCCACACACTTTTTGGACGACTTGCCGTGAACATTAGCGGTAACAGATTAATCAATGTTGTCGTTTTGTAATAATGTTAATGAATGTCACTCTGGAAAATTTAACATTGTTATAATTGCTATTAGGTTTGTTTAAAGGTAGCCTTAAATAAATGTCACCCAAAAAAATTAGGCTGAAATTAAATCCATAACCAAATGTAGCGTTTGCTTGTTTAAGCACTACCCAAAAAATCAAGTAATTAAAATCAATGGTGATTGCTTTAGGATCAGCCCTTAATTTACCCATGCAGAACAAGTGCCATTTAAGCTTTACAAACTTAATTTATAAAAAAAATTACATAATTTTTTTTTTCCCCAAAATAAACACATTTCAGGAGAGTATGACCTTAAGTAATTTACCGTTAGTGAGCATCGTAAGGATATGTTTGGCCTCCACCATAGGAATGTGCCAGTGCCACTAATACCGACGATTGCTCTTTTAATGACCCACATGGCAATGGGAGGTCCTCATATAGCAGAAGATTGAAAAGGGGCTGTGTACATACAGTACAAAACAAATGTCCCCCATGTAGCCTTAACAAACTGTAGGGGCAAGTGCTGTTAGCGATTAGCACCTATTAAGGCCGGCACGGCACACGAGGAGGTGGGAGGGTGGCCAGCCCCACGCCCGACCGCCTTTGTCTCCCCGGTGGCGATGTTTACACACCGCACCAGGTACTCATTTGAGGCTGAGTCGAACTAGGGGAGGCCCAGGACTGACTCAGATAATCGTCACCGGTGTTGGCCGTGAGCGAGAATCGAACCCGGGTCGCCGGGTTTAGAGCGCAGCGTGCTAACTGCTACACCACCGCTCCCCACAAAGACAAACACACACACACAGATATGCATGTACAATTACAGGATCATCTGTAAACCATGAACGGTGACAAGTTGCGCATCTGCAGGTGGTGCTGCAGCCGAGCGGTGAGCACCGCTCGCCAAAATCTTCCGCCAGCATCGCAGCTGCTGACCTTTGCTACGAAACTATCGCTGCATTACAGACCCTGGGAGTTTGCCATTCTGCTCCTTTCACACTCCCCCCCCGCTCCTCCCTGCTGTGGGCACTCTGGAATGGGAGGTTATTTGAAAAGTGTCTGCGTTGCTTTCTCACCTCTCGGCCACATGCTGCCGGAGGCCCATGAGGGTGCAGGTCCCGGGTTCAAGCGAGCGCCGTCACGACACGGTTTGCCACCTCCAAGCCACAGACTAACCTGGATGGATCGTGGGAAGAAGAATATCTCGTGTAATACTGAAAGAGGGGAGAACTACGAATAATAATAATAATAACACACCTCGAGTGGTGTGTTATTATAACGCAGCTGAAAAAAAAACGCGACTTTCAATGACCATGGAAAAATAGAGAGGTTTCCTGGGAGAGCAGCTGCCTCCAAGTCGGTGATTTTGGGTATGTATGTTGAACTTCTTTCGCACCGTACGCAGCCAACCGTGCTAATCGGAGGTGCGGGGGAAAGACAACAAACTAAAACACAAAAAAGTAGTTTTACAGAAATGATAAATTGGGCAATGCGCCTTTATATTGCTGCCCATGCCCCAATCGCCCAGAACGTGCCCGAGTTTGTCGCATCTCGGAAACTAAGCAGGCTTAGGTTCTTATCTCGCTCTAGTGCTGTGTCTACTTGTCGCGCGCCTACTCCAAATCTACCAGCATATTCAGTGAGAGATGAAATGCTGGTGGTGGGAGACTCCAAGAACAGGCCTTACAGGCCAGGTGTCGACTTGACAACAGCTGAGAGATCTAGCAGGAAGGAGGAAGCGATGGCGAAGTGTGGTGGCATCCGCTCCGATGGATACCGGTGACCTCTTGACCTGTGCTGCATTTGATCTCTTGCGTGGTGTACAGCAGAGGCACGTGACCCGCTTGCCGTCATGACAAATGACACGGAGTCAAAATAATAATTGTTGAGTGCGTTACTCGTGAGGCTCGGTTGTTTTCAAGGCAAATGACAAATGCAACGGAGCTAGATGATCTCAATCGTAAATCAATATAAGTCACGCTTCCATCCAGAAAGGCCTCATTGGATCTCAATATCTACTTTCTGCAGGGTCCTGCATTGAGATATTTGGCCAAATTTAATATTCAGTATTTTGCACATGGGAGGAAATCAGGAATGCCAAGAGAAACGTAATGAATATATGATAAATTTCGATTTAAAGCTTTCGTGACTGCAAGGATTCATCTTCTTTGGTTCTTTCGGTAAAGTCACGTAGAATGAGAATAAAATAATAAATTTATCAAAGAATATGATAAATCATCGTCACCATCGTGATCAGCCATGATCTCCACACTGCTGGGTGAAGGCCTCCCCAAGCCCTTGCCATCCCTCACTCTCTCGCAACAATCCCCCATTGTCCAGCAGTCCCCTCACTGTCCCGAGATCCAACCATCCACGTTGCTCGTCCACATGAACCGGTCAACCTTCGGTGCATTTCCGCTTTTGGCTGCCACTCCGTCCTAGTCTCGACCGCCGGCCATCATCGCTTTAATCCACGCATCCCGCCCAAGCCAGCGCACTCCTCTTGACCGGTCACTGCGACGAACGCGCAGGCAAACATTTTAAAAAGAAAACCCATGCCGTGTAACCGTCTAGTCGGGAACCAGCACGGGGGATAACATCTCTCTCCGTAATCCACCAACCCCATCGCTGCCGCCGCCGCCGCCGCCAAAGGCACCAAGGGTTGCACAGACGCCAACATATGCAGAAAAATGCGGCGATCGAATGCGACTCGTGGGACCTTTCTTGCCAGTATCAAAATATAAGAACAGGTTTCACCCTGGGCTTTCGCGACCAATAGCATCCATAACACAGCTTTTGTTTTGGGTTAGATCGCGTTCTAACACCCAAAAAAAACATGTATTATGGATGTCTGCATTAACCACACATACTTGCGTCGAACATGCAAACAAAAAAGACATACTCCGATAATGCATGCATTGTCTTTGAAACTGATTGGTCCGCACCAAAGACAGCTTTCTTAAGAGCCAAGTCTCAAGCGGTGTTAGACCAGAGAACGCCAGAAGGCAAACAGCACAAAGACCATGTACGATCAAGGCATTCATAGAACGGGGTGAGCAGCTACATCATGCATGTTTTTGTTTGCATGTTCACCACAAGTATAGTGAGGGAAAAAAGTATTTGATCCCCTGCTGATTTTGTACGTTTGCCCACTGACAAAGAAATGATCAGTCTATAATTTTAATGGTAGGGTTATTTGAACAGTGAGAGACAGAATAACAACAAAAAATCCAGAAAAACGCATGTCAAAAATGTTATAAATTGATTTGCATTTTAATGAGGGAAACAAGTATTTGACCCCTCTGCAAAACATGACTTAGTACTTGGTGGCAAAAACCCTTGTTGCCAATCACAGAGGTCAGACGTTTCTTGTAGTTGGCCACCAGGTTTGCACACATCTCAGGAGGGATTTTGTCCCACTCCTTTTTGCAGATCTTCTCCAAGTCATTAAGGTTTCGAGGCTGACGTTTAGCAACTCGAACCTTCAGCTCCCTCCACAGCTTTTCTATGGGATTAAGGTCTGGAGACTGGCTAGGCCACTCCAGGACCTTAATGTGCTTCTTCTTGAGCCACTCCTTTGTTGCCTTGGCCGTGTGTTTTGGGTCATTGTCATGCTGGAATACCCATCCACGACCCATTTTCAATGCCCTGGCTGAGGGAAGGAGGTTCTCACCCAAGATTTGATGGTACATGGCCCCGTCCATCGTCCCTTTGATGCGGTGAAGTTGTCCTGTCCCCTTAGCAGAAAAAACACCCCCAAAGCATAATGTTTCCACCTCCATGTTTGACGGTGGGGATGGTGTTCTTGGGGTCATAGGCAGCATTCCTCCTCCTCCAAACACGGCGAGTTGAGTTGATGCCAAAGAGCTCCATTTTGGTCTCATCTGACCACAAACTTTCACCCAGTTGTCCTCTGAACCATTCAGATGTTCATTGGCAAACTTCAGAGGGGCATGTATATGTGCATTCTTGAGCAGGGGGACCTTGCGGGCACTGCAGGATTTCAGTCCTTCACGGCGTAGTGTGTTACCAATTGTTTTCTTGGTGACTATGGTCCCAGCTGCCTTGAGATCATTGACAAGATCCTCCCGTGTTGGGCTAATCCCTCACCGTTCTCATGATCATTGCAACTCCACGAGGTGAGATCTTGCATGGAGCCCAAGACAGTTATTTTGTGTTTCTTCCGTTTGCGAATAATCGAACCAACTGTTGTCACCTTCTCACCAAGCTGCTTGGCAATGGTCTTGTAGCCCATTCCAGCCTTGTGTAGGTCTACAATCTTGTCCCTCACATCCTTGGAGAGCTCTTTGGTCTTGGCCATAGTGGAGAATTTGGAATCTGATTGATTGATTGCTTCTGTGGACAGGTGTCTTTTATACAGGTAACAAGCTGAGATTGGGAGCACTCCCTTTAAAGAGTGTGCTCCTAATTACAGCTCGTTACCTGTATAAAAGACACCTGGGAGCCAGAAATCTTTCTGATTGAGAGGGGGTCAAATACTTATTTCCCTCATAAAAATGCAAATCAATTTATAACATTTTTGACATGCGTTTTTCTGGATTTTGCTGTTGTTATTCTGTCTCTCACTGTTCAAATAAACCTACCATTAAAATTATACACTGATCATTTATTTGTCAGTGGGCAAACGTACAAAATCAGCAGAGGACCAAATACTTTTTTCCTTCGCTGTATGTGTGGCGAACATGCAAACATCCATAAAATATTTTTTTAGGGTTAAATCGCGTAAATAAATATAAAAGTGTCGTTAAACCCGCCACCACCCGACACAGTCAATTATTAAGGGTTGCCACGTCAACAGAACGTGCCAATTCGTTACTAGTACAGCACACCGCTGTGTTGGAGACCAATGCCACAACATTGCAGGCATGTTTCTGCCTGGTGTTGTAACATCTGAACGCCTGGTTTCGTGGCAGAAAGGGTACAGCCTATTCTGATTCTATTCTTAGTTTTCGAATGAGACTCGTTGGACCCCACGAGGGGCGGTCCAACAAAAGCGTGGAGGGCGATCTTTATCCGTGGCACACGCGCACGCACAACGAGACACCCTCGTTTTTTTTCTCTCCCTTCGCAACCACGGGCGCTCGCCTCTCCGCGCGAGAACCAATCCCGATTGACAAAATTCCTGGAACCGCTTCCTCACGCGCCTTGGTGTTGCACGTGTTTTTGTGTCTCTCTCTCTCTCGCTCGGAGGCGGCGGGCGGCGATACTGAAGCCCACAGGGTTCAGAAGTGCAGTGGGACATCAACGAGGACGCCGTTCGCCTCCCCCACGTTGTCTCTTTTCTTTGTCTCGCGTTGGTTGCGGCGTGGGCCCTGTCCGAGGCCTGGGGTTTCTCCCCCACCCCCCAACTCGCCCTGCCAGAGCAATTTGAAAAGTAATTGGTCTCATAAAGCGTCTTGAGAGAAAACAAAAATACGGCAAAACGACGCTTCGGAGGGCGCCGTCTCGTTACAGCTGCATACTCATGTCCTCAAATGCTCAATCAACTTTAACACCGAGCAGCCGAAGTGGAATATCAACGAAAGAATGTCATCACGCGTTGCACGTGCGCATCGACGTATCTGCCACCGCGTGCGTATTTGCACGCGGAGTGCTGGTACGTGAGTTCATGCGAGGCTGTGCTTACGACCTTAGCAGTCTGAGTTGTGTCTACTTCAGACCGACAACACGAGTGGACACTGATTCGGAAGCAGCGTGGCTCTCCCCCAAGCTTGAAGCGTCAAAAAAGTGAATAAATCTATTTGCCAGGGTTATATTTCAGCATCGGCAGGAGCAGCAGCAGCAGCAGCCCACACCACCCCCTCGTGCACTGAGCTGCCCTTAATAGGCGCTCGCTAACAGCACGTGTCCCGAAAGCCTACGGGGGTAAAGCATGGCTCGCTGCCTCGATGGCTGTGAGAAGCGGTGTGTTTGTCTTTGTGGGGAGCGGTGGTGTAGCGGGTAGCGCTGCGCTACGAACCCGGCGACCCGAGCTCGATTCCCGCTTACGGCCAACACCGGTGACGATTATCTACACCGGTCATGTGCCTCCCCTAGGTCGACTCAGCCTCAAATTAGTACCGAGTACGCGGTGTGTGAACATCGCCACGAGGGAGACAAAGGCGCCTGGGTGTGGTGCTGGCCAACCACCTCCTCGTGTGCCGTGCAGGCCTTAA